ATGAAGACGATGGTCAGCTTGAAGATGGTGACCGCATCTTCTACACCTCGTTCCGCCCCTCGGAGGAGATACGCGCTGGCAGTACTGTCTCACAGCGCCTGGCCGAAGCCTTCGCCAGGAACTCCGCCCCTGCGCCCTCCGAGATCCCGGACTGGGCTAAGGAGTTTCAGGACGTCTTCAACAAGGAGTCCTTCGACACGCTACCGGAGCGGAGAGCCTGGGACCACGCCATTGAACTCGTCCCCGACGCTAAGCCCACCAACTGCAAGGTGTACCCCATCTCGCCCCTCGAGCAACGCGAGCTCGACGCGTTCATCGAGGAAGGGCTTTCGACGGGCCGGATTCGCCCCTCCAAGTCTCCGATGGCGTCTCCGGTCTTCTTTGTCAAGAAGAAGGATGGCGGACTCTGCTTCGTCCAGGACTACCGTGCTCTCAACATGATGACTGTCAAAAACCGGTACCCCCTTCCGCTGATCAACGACCTCATCAACCGGTTCAAAGGCGCTCGTTACTTCACCAAACTCGACGTCCGTTGGGGCTTCAACAACATCCGGATCAAGGAAGGTGACGAGTGGAAAGCGGCTTTCCGGACTAACCGAGGCCTGTTCGAGCCCTTGGTGATGTATTTCGGCCTGACGAACTCTCCCACGACGTTCCAAACGATGATGAATGACATTTTCCAGGACCTCATCCTCTCCGGAGACGTTATGATCTACCTTGACGACATCCTGATCGCCCATTCCGACCTCCGGAAACACCGGCAGATTGTTCAGGAGGTCTTACGGCGACTCCGAGAGCACAAGTCGTACCTTCGAGCGGAGAAGTGCGACTTTGAAAAATCGTCAATCGAGTACCTCGGAGTCATCATCTCCCACAACCACGTCGAAATGGACCCCGTCAAAGTCGCAGGCGTCTCCGCTTGGCCGACTCCGGAAAACAAGAAGGACATTCAGCAGTTCCTTGGGTTCGCTAACTTCTACCGCAGGTTCATTCGGGACTTCTCGACCCTTGCGCGCCCTCTTTTCGTGCTCACCAAGAAGGACCAGCAATGGACTTGGGGCGACGCGGAGGCCTCCGCGTTCCAAGCGATCAAGGACGCGGTCACCTTGGAACCGGTCCTGGCGATTCCGGACGACGCACGGCCTTTCCGACTCGAGGCGGACAGCTCTGATTATGCGACGGGGGCGGTTCTTTCACAATCCGCCCCGGACGGGAAGTGGCACCCTGTAGCATTCTATTCCAAAAGCTTAAATGATGTCCAGCACAACTATGAAATCCACGACAAGGAGATGCTCGCAATCATCCGCGCACTCGAGGAGTATAGACACTTCCTCGAGGGCGCCGCGCACCCTGTCGAGATTTGGACTGACCATAAGAATTTGGAGTACTTCAGGAAGACGCAGCACCTCAACCGGAGACAGGCCCGGTGGTCCCTGTACCTCTCCCGGTTCGATTTCACGCTGCACCACAAGCCTGGCCGCGACATGGGTCGACCTGACGCCCTCTCCCGGAGACCCGACCACGGAGTCGATTCCGACAACTCCGATGTCGTCCTTCTGTGGCCTGAACTCTTCCACGTCCGCGCACTCGAGGGCGTTTCCGTTTCCGGTCCCGGCTCTGAACTCCTCCGCGACATCCGTGATGCCCTCTCCGGTGAGCCTGACCTGGAGGAGCCCGTTGCACTAGCGGCCCGGCAACTTCTTAAGGTTCAAGGTCAAGCTCGAGGCCCCCGCTCCTCACGTTCTGACGAGTGGGCCGTCTCCGGCGGTCTTCTCCATTTCTGAGGAAAAATTGTCGTACCAAAGGACAAGGACCTCCGGAGACGCATCATCGAGCTCTGCCATGACACCCGAGTCGCCGGACACGCAGGTCGTTTCAAGACCCTGGAGTTGGTCTCCCGGAACTACTGGTGGCCTCAGATGTCTCGCCATATCGGCCGGTATGTTGCGACCTGTGACTTGTGCTGTCGCACCAAGGCACTCCGGAGACTGCCCCACGGAGAACTGCACCCCACGGAAACGCCCCCGGAACGCTGGCATACCGTCTCCGTCGACTTCATCGTAGAGCTTCCCGAAGCCCATGGGTACGACGCGATCATGGTCGTCGTCGACACCCTCGGAGAGCGTGCCCACTTCTCGGAGTGTCATACGATGGTCGATGCAGTAGGGGCAGCCCGCCTCTACTACCGGAATGTCTGGCGGCACCACGGGACTCCGGAGAAGTACGTCTCCGACCGCGGCTCGCAGTTCATCGTGGACTTCACCCGAGAACTTTGGCGTCTAATCGGCATCAAGCCCCCCACGTCCACCGCGTACCACCCGCAGACAGACGGTCAGACAGAGCGCGTCAACCAGGAGCTGGAGCAGTACTTGCGGATCTTCACCAACTACCAGCAGGACGACTGGGATGAGCTGATTCCGGCCGCGGAGTTCGCCTACAACAACCATGTTCACTCCTCCACTCAGCAGGTCCCCTTCATGACGGACACGGGACGGCTCCCGCGCATGGGCTTCGAACCCGGAGTCCGTTCTGCCATGGAGTCAGTGAACAAGTTCCGCGACCGGATCGCCACTGGTGTTGCTGAAGCCAAGGCCGCGCTCACTAAGGCCAAAGAGGAGTACAAGTGCTACTACGACCGGAGACGGACTCCGTCTCCGGAGTTTAAGGTTGGCGACCGTGTTTGGCTGGATGCCTCTGACATCAGGACGACTCGCCCCTCGGAAAAGTTCTCCCATCGCCGCCTCGGACCGTTCAAGATAGTCGCGGAGATCAGCAAAGGTGCCTACAAGCTCGACCTCCCTCCGCGCTACTCGAAGCTCCACCCGGTCTTCCCCGTCGTCAAGCTCGAGCTTGCCCAGGACGACCCCTTCGACGGACGCCCCAGCTACGACCAGCCCCCTCCGGACCTTGAGGATGGAGTCCCGGAGTGGGAAGTAGAGGAAATCCTGGACGCAAGGGTGAGGTATAAACGGCTGAACTACTTCGTCAGATGGAAAGGCTACAACGCATCGCACGACCAATGGGTCCGCTTCGACCGCGTCTTCGCCCCGGAGAAAATTGCGGAGTTCTATCGTAAGTACCCTGGCAAGCCACGACACATCGCCTCCGCGACCTTCGACTCGATTCCGTTCCGGTCTATGCGTCGGGACGCTGCATTCAAAGGGGGGGGTGATGTCAGGGGAACCTCCCTTTCGGCCCGGAGACGCGCCCGATTCCGGTCCGACTCCGGTTCCGACTCCGGTCCGGCCCTCCATCTCGCCCGCACAATCACCGATCCGTCAACGCCCTCCCGACGGTCGCCCTGGGACCTCGCCTGCGACGCCGCCCAAGCCTTCTGTGCCCGACAGCGGCAGCTACGGACAAGCAGTATATAGTCAGCTACCTAGCAGGCGGACCCTTAGAGTTTCTTCTCTTTGGATCCTCCCCTGCTAGGTCAGCTTCATTTGTATTCGCTTACCAATGTTCACTCTTTGGATCCTCCCCTGCTAGGACCTTGATCTCAGGCCTCCGGGGTTGCCCTTACATAGTCTTTGAGATACTTTTGGAGAGTTACCAATATTAGAGTGTATCCTCGACTCAATGCTAAGTCTGCAAATATATCCACCAGATATTGGATGACTACTTAGTTTCCAATACAGCAAAATTGTAATTAGGGTGCTAGTCCGCCCTTTCGTGTGCTTCCTCGGTATCTTGCCAACCATGAAGTAAGCTCTTGCGGCCCGAGATCCTCGGGATTGGTGTTGACACTAGCGGCCCAGGCCGGGGCTGAGCATATGGCGAAGGATATTGAGGCGCCGTAGCTGGCACCGGCATGCCGCGGTAGACCCCGTGTCTGTGGATGGGGGGCGGGATGTAAGTGTGATGCGCGGATGTGCCGGAGCCGTCGAGCGACAAATCAGGGTACGGTGTTCCCTGCGAGTAGCGCGGACGACTGTTTGTTGGCGGAGGGGCAGTGTGTGGGAGCGGGGGAGCGCCAGAGGGCGGGGCTGACCGATAGGACAGGGTTGGTGAAGGACTGGAAGGCGGGTACATCGTGATGGGACTTCCCGGGCTGCTTGCCACTGGGAGCCCAGGCATTGTCGGCGAGAGCCCGGGCGAAGTCGGCGCAGACTCGCAGACAAGGCCTCGTCGCGAGCAGCGGAGACAGGGTTGTGTAGTTCCGTCTATATTGGGTGTGCACTGAAGAATGACGAGTTAAGTTTCAGTGACGGCCCATGGCTAGAACGGCGTACCTTCACTTTCTGTGCCCGGCAATTGTTGCATGGTGTGCTTCGAGATGCCATGGTAGGGAAATGATAAGCCGCAAGAGAAGTTCGCGACTATAAGGAAGCTGAACGAGATTATGCGTATCGACTCATGCAAGAGCATAAATTGAGGTTCATCTTGCCGATCAATCACCGGCCGAAGAAACGAGGTAAATCGAGTCTATATACGAGCGTAGATCCTTTGAGCGCTGTCTGTAGTTCATCGATGCTCCTCGTGTAGCGACTGCGAGCACCGAGCGCCAGCCGTGACAATCCAAGTGGGTATTGCAGGGTGAATGAGAGGCTTCGCGTCAGCGTTGCCTAAGCACCAGATTTCTGCGCCGCGTCCCGGTGTCGAATGGCATCGTGACCCGGGGGACAGCAGGTGGGCGATGTCGTAGTTGGATGCTAAATGACAGAGTATGATGTGGGCCAAGCTCAGGCGTCCGAAGGGAACGCAGTTAGCCGGTGAGTTGACTGATAGTGCACGGGATGAGGTTGGCGGCGCCGGACGGGTAGCCATGACGCGAATTACTCAAACCAGTGTCGACAGAAACAAGGCTTGCGCTCAGCGCCGTTGCTCCCCGATAGCAAGGCACAAAACGGTCAGAGGGACAAACGAAGGCAGGACACGCGTTCTACTTGGGAAGAGGGACTAGAGTTGATTCGCACTTGGTAGGAACGACGAAGAAGTGGAGGCGGTGCATGATTTGTATTCGTTGATTGATGATCATTCGCATTTTTCTTGTCATCTCCCTCATCATGTCGACGCCCAATAGCACAGGAAAACAGTCTATCATTGGGCTTCATGCCGTGCATCCCGACAACGCCAAATCATTCAAGTCCTTTGCTCCCAGCCGAACCGAAGTCCGCTCGACACGCAATGCGATTCATACTGCTTGCACGCGATGTTTGAAGACCGATGAGGATCCCGAGATTATATTGAGGCGGTGCGGGAAGGTTCGCCGTGCGTCTTGTCTCAGAAATTACAATCCTGAGCGATGACTTTCCAGTGTAAAGGCGTATGGTATTGCTCGAAACAGGTTTTTGCAGTGTCAATCTGCTACTGAGCCAGGAAACTAATCATTCAACATAAAACAGTGTCAAACGGCCCATTGGTTGGCTTATGTCCACCCGCGGCCTGGCAAAGCCTGACATTTGCTTGTAGGCCAACGCACAAGAAGACCTGCCATCTCGTCGAAGGCCCTGGCATCCAGAAGCTCGTGCAGAATTTCTGCGCGAATTCCGTGCTGAACAAGCATCTTCAAGCCTGTCTTGCACTGGCTTTCGATTTGCACATCAAGTCTCGCCTCGACTCTCCTTTCATCGCCCGTGTCGATATCGGTATCGAACCTGCGGACATCATGGACTTTTTCAATGTTTTTCTCGGGCGGGACGGCGAGTCCGATACTCCTATTGCGTCCCCGAATCCTTCGAAACCTCCTGTGGCATCGAAGCGGGGGATGCTTCAGATCACTGCGTTTCAGCCCTCAACAATTTGCAAGCTCGAAGAACTCACAGAAATGCGGCAAGAAATCTGGAAGAAGGCCAGAGAGAGTGCAGATCAGGCAGGGTGTGAAGGCGACTCCGTTGGACTTGTCGAGTTTGCCTCGGGGGGAGAGCGTCATGACGTTGACATGTCCTTTCCACATCCTCAAGTCGACGATCAAGTTCGTCAAGGAAGCACCGCCTTGGGAGAAGAAGTCTGCAATTACCAGCGAAGTCACTGAAGTACCGTTCAGCATTGCCACCTGTATTGAGTGAGCGTCCCGCCAGCTGCCGTCTTTGATTGATGTAGCACAGGTTCATGAACATGCACATACGGGCAGACAAGAAAAACCAGTATATGCTGCGCACGGAAATTCAGGAAAGCGATCTGAAAACTATCCGAAATGCAGCGCTTCACGCCTCTGACGACGAGCCGCGGCCTGTGCAGCTGTTGCGTGTCAAGATGGAAAAAGAGGACATTTATAATCCGTTTGTCATGCAGGAAGGAGAAGGAATTGCGCGGAAATTGCATGATGCGCTGGCCACTGAGCAACGCGAGAGGATTTTCGGCGTCGGCACAGATATGGACCTTCCGGATTGACCGTTGCTGATGTACTAGAGATAGCGGTGTTTCGACGAGAATAAACGGTCATTGAGTGGGTCCGAACTCACATCTGTGAGAGATGCGAAGCCTGAGCGCGACGATGCGAGAAGTTCATCATTCCCTCAACTGTTGCTCGCCGGCAATTGGCACATTCTTGTTTGTCAGAATGCTTAGAAGTATGAAGGCGGAAGCCCCACCACAAGGCAAATACCAAACGTTGAGCGCGAAGATGTACAAGCATCCGAGTTGAAAGACAGTCTTATATGGTGAGTCACTACTGATGACTCATCGGTGACAACTCTTGTCCGAGACGGCCACATCGTCCAACATTGTGGCTTTGGCCCTTGGTCCATGAAGGTATGTGCAAGTGTTGCAAGCTTCCGCCGTCATTGATACACGCGATTGACTTTTCACCAATAGAATTCTTGATGTTGGACGGATTGAATCAACCGCGCGGCGTCTCTGGATCGCGGCTCCCATCTGCATCGACATCCACTATTAGCCATCTGCTGTGCCCCCAGGGCGTTATCGCGAGATGCTCTGCGCGTGTGCTGCTGCGTGCGTGCCGCGACGCGCGTGCCTCGAAGAACGCGCGCGACTCAGAACGTGCTGCGCGTGCCTCGAACTCAGCCTCAGAACGCGTACATTGATTGATTAATTGATTTCACATGTCAAACCATACCCCCCCCTTGCACGCCTCGCTCCAACGCTAAGTCGCGCTCGCTCGCCAAGTCGCGCGAGCGAGAGCGTACTCTAATATACCTCGTTGGCTTGCGCACGGACCTGTTCAAAGTCACGAGATAAATCTACTGGGGGAGAAATTTTGCATTTCTCGGGGTGGTTCGGGTGGATTTCATGGCTTGGGGGAGACAAGGTACTCGTCACTCTCGGGCTTTCCGGGCAGGGATGGGTAGTGCAAAAGTCATATATTCTCTAACTCTAACGAGACACGCTAATTTAACACGCGTCGCGACGCGTCTAACCCCATCAAACTGAGCGGACAGACACCCAAGTCCCCATTTCCACCAGTCAGCCACAGTGGGCAACACTGTCCCGGGCGCGTTGATAGTCCAGCGGTTCGCAGGCCTCCGGCGGCTGAGACCTGTGAAAAAATGAGCTTGAATTGCACAAAAGAGACGCAAAATGTACCCTCCGGAGTGCCCATCAAAAGCGCCGCGGCCGTCCAAACACGCGTCGCAACACGTCAAGGTTCTTCTCCCGCACAAGACAGTGGCCCCACACTGTCTTGGTAGCGTTGTCAGGCGGGCGGCACGTGTGCCTCTGGCGGCTCGGACCTGCGAGAAAGTGAGGCTTGAATCACGCAAAAGAGGTGGAAAATATACCTTGAAGCTCCATCAGAATTGCCGCAAAAGGTCGTTGATGTGCGCATGTCGGCCAGCAAGGGGATCCGGAAGAGGTTGCTTGACCATGCGGGATGGGCTCCGATGGGGAATGGGGCCGCGATAAGGCGCGACCAGTTGGAGCCAGGGCGGGGACTCCGTTGACCACGTGGAAAGGCCAGACTCAGAGGCGGGACGGCAAAGCCCATGGAGTATGTGTTGAAGGGCAAGCAACAACCCGGCACCGCCCAGCGCAGAGCGTAACGTTGAAGGCCAGCGGTGGGCCGTGATGACCGTCGTGAGCAGCGCTGCAGGCGGACGCGAGGGTCGGGGACAGGTCGGGGTCAAACGACGGCGAGGATGACTTCGCTGCCGCGTGGGAACATCGAAGAACTTGAAGGCCGGACTCGGAAGGCGGGACGGCCAAGGCAATGGAAGACCTATGCAACAACTCGGCGGCCAGCGCAGATAGTGGCATTGTCGAATCGAGTAAGGCCGGGGGTAGGCCGGCCGGGTATGGCTGCCGGGACAAGTGTGTTGCGGGGCCACAAGGATAGAGGTGTGAGATGAAACAATGCCGACAAGGCTGATGAGATGGCCGAGGGGTAGTGCGATGGAGGACAACGACCGGGCGGCCAGCACAGAACGTGGCGCGGGTAAGCCGAGCAAAACCGGCAATGACCGGGGTTGACCGCCGGGGGCAAAGGTGCAGGGTGAGGAGGTCGGAGAGAAGGTGGCCGCAATGCGGCTGCAAACACCGGGTAGGCGATGACAAAGCCAATAGGCAAGCAGCAACAATGGTGGCGGACATCGTTGATGATCATCGGCAGGATGTCCGACAGGCAGCGCAGAGCGTGGTGCGGGAGGCCCGGGGGCAGTAGGCGATGACCCAGATATCCCCGGTCAGCAACAGTGGTGGCCCCACTGTGCCGACAGGGTTGATGGCCGGGCGGTAGTGTACGCCTCCGGCGGCAAAACCCTGCAAAAAAGTGAGCCTTGAATCCAGTTAAAAGTGTGCCAAAACGCACCCAAAAATACCATCAAAATCTGATGATCGCATCAGATCCGACCGATGCCGAGGGCGGCGGCACCATCGGCCAACCAGTTGTCGATCAAAACTGAGCACGTCGCCGGAAGCCCCGCAGTCAGGGCGGTAAATTGGCCTCCGGCGGTGAAAATCTGTGAAAAAAATGAGCTTTTTGACCATCAAAAGATCGGCCAAATATGCTTACGTAAGCGCCAAGTGCAGCCTAAAAACGGCCAAGATACCGCCCGGGAAGTCCGGCGCAGAAGCAATAAAGCGCATCTGGACACAACATCAGTGACAGTCAACAGAATAAAATCAAATCACAACGTACCAGCATAGTTTTGGCATCCGAGCAGAGGTTCCCCCTCTGGAAACAGCGCTAGTAGCAACCCCGCCTCGACCAGGAATCTAAGCCCCACATTAGTATCGGCATTATATCACACAACTAAGCGCGACCACTTACATGCCGCCCGAACAGAGGTCCCCCTCTAGACAACGTGTCGTGGTCGGTCCCGCACGCAACGGTAGTGTCGGATGGTGGCCGATGACGGTCCAGGCATACGAGCAGAGGTTCCCCCTCTGGTCGAAGACGGGGAGCAAGTTCTGAATAGGCAGTCAGCAAATATATACATAAGCAATGAAAGATGGACATACTTTGGCCAGCGCAGCAACATCGCCTTGTCGAAAACGACATAAAATCTAAGCCCGGCATTAGCATGACATCATATACACATAGGCGCGATGACTTACAGACGGCCCGAGCAGAGGTTGCCCCTCTTGACATAGTCGCAGTCATGGTTGATAACAACACTGGATCATCCTCAGTACCATAGGATATGTCAAGGGCAGAGTCAACTTACGAGCGGCAATGAAATGTCCGAGCAGAGGTTCACCGTCCGAGCAGAGGCTCACAGTCTCGGAAGCCAATGACAACCACATATCTGAGTTAGAAGGTCAATACATTATCACATATAGGAAAGAGGAAGGACATACGAACAGCTGTTCCGCATGCAAGCAAGGTTCCCCATCAGAAACGAGCGGAAGGAGCAACGCCGCCGTCGCAAAGAGGACCAGCATAGTTTTCCCCCTCCGTTGCGTTCGCGGTCGATAACAACACCAGCTGGAGGCTAAGTCGGACATCAGTCACTTATCATGTTGCGAGCAAAACGGTAACTTACAGGGAAATTTTCGTCGTCCGAGCAGAGGTTCACCCGCTGGCGAGAAATCAAGTAGCTCGCCGGCGTGATAACAACCTGATTGATATGTTAGTGCACTGTTGCCTATAGTCAACAGAAAACATACCGACAAACCAAAAGGCTCGCAGAGTCAGTGGCAACGAGCGCAAGCAAGCAGAGGCTCCCCACTTCCCGCCAACAGAAACTAGCATGGTGTGAGGCAGGTCCAGGCACACGGGGATGGAATGCATACCTGCAAGCGCGTGCGCAAGACGTCCACAACTTGCTCGGCGGGCTTAAGGAGTTTTGGTGGTCGTTGTTGGTTAAGACGACGAGTTCCAGCTGTCAGACAAGTCAGAACCCTGCCAGGTTTACAGCTAAGGACACGTACGGGAGGCAGAAAATGGCGCTGGATGAGCCGCCGAAGTTGGTTGTTGCCCATGCTGCGAACGGGAAGTTCTTGTATGGCGAAATGCCTGACTTGAAGTTCGAGTAGGGTGACGCAGAAGTTGCTGTAGGGGTTGCGATGAGCGAGAGCAGTGACAGGACACCAACGAGCATACCTTTGTCGATGGGGGACACGTCGACAAGCGTCGTGGTGGTGGAGTGAAGACAAGCCAAGAAGTAGCGCGTGACTTGGTTGATGATTTGATTTCTCCACGGAAATCACATCACCGGTGTCAAGCACGCTGTCACCGATTCAGCGTCGGCGAATAGGCGGCACGGCGAATGGTGAGGCTTGCCGAGGGCCAGGTGGTGCGGGCTAAAATTAGCTGCCCGGTGCTGGTGCCCTGAATGCCAAAGGGCGGACTATGCGCATGGTGACCATCGATGGCGCATCATGACCATGTGCAGCGCGGCACATCGGGAGGAGGGTGCAAGAAGTGGCGGGTCCACGGACTATTTTCGGACCATGTCCGAAATGGCGGGCAGGTTTGATGCTGGATCGCCGGTTGCCTTCGGGATGGCCCAGTGTCATTGATGCGGCCAAGCTTCGGCCTGGTCATGCTCCCCAGGTCGATGATGGCCTTCTGAGTCGTGAGCGGGCATGCTGAGAACCTACTTGACTTGAAGTGTAGTGCGCGGAATTTAGACCAAGTTATTTTTGGTCACCTACCCTGAGGCCGCTCAGGGAAGTGAATGCCGCTCGGGCTTAGGGAAACAAATTCGCCGCCGATGGAGCACAGGCGGTGCACTCAGGGTCTTATTGTGATGGAATTTGAGAAGCACGGCGGACGGGAAATGAAGATTACGGCTGACAGGCCGGATGATGACAACATGAATACCCGTGCTGGCCAGCCAGATATGTTCTCCTTGCCCAGCTGGCTGTTGTCCTTTGGGGTTTTCTCTCTCATGCGGTTCCAATCTTTTATTTGCGCAGCACAGTGGGAAATTCCTTTTTTCTCCAATTTTAATACCATTTGACACCGAAACAGACGCGTTTTCAGCGCGCCATGCGCCAATTTTTCGCGGCGCGCGTTGTTCTTGAGCGCTCAGTTCGGTGTCGCCATCAGCTGCTCACATCCACCACCAAATCAGGCAATTCACCCGGCAGGGCTCGGACTCGTCGCCCTTGACACTTCCAAATGGACTCAATTCAGACTATTTTTAGATGACGGACATCGCCAAGCAATCCACTGCGTCCGACCCTTATCCACGCTCGCGATGCTAACCTATTCGAGCAACAACGCGAATCCACAAAATCCTGCATCGTCTCGACGGCTGGGGGCTATTTCGTCCGATCAAAGACGTCAAAGCGTCAGGGTCACTCAGCCATACCCTGAATGGCTGTCCGATTGCTTGCGCGACGGCGGAAATATACGATCTTCCCAAATGATTCATGTTGCCCACATTGATGCCCGTGTTATGAAGCACGGGCTAAGAAGTCAAGTGCCGCACTGTCCCCACTTGACAGATCGATCCGTTGCGTGAGTTTTGACGTGCTATTTGCGTCTCCCAAGTGCCCAGTTGACCAAGTTTCCGCTGAGTTCATGTTTTCCTTACATCTAGATTTCATGCCCGTGACGATCTCAATCTATCCAGGTTTTGACTCAGAGATACTCACAAGGACGTTCTTCAACCAGTGCGGCACTCAAAATAGCTCGCTTAGCCGTCGTCAACTGACATCTTCTCATTCCAAACTTGATCACTCAGCATTTTGCGAAGATAACGAAAGCATCCAGCCCGGCCGGTGTACGTCACCGAGGGAGTATAAGAAGCCACGGCCTTCAACCGTCGCGCACCTCCCCCTCTTTCTTTCCCCCCACCATGCACCCAAAGTCAACTTCACGTGCTCTTCGCTCGTCGTCGTCCTGCTTGGTGGGCACTCTTTCCTCCATTCATACTACTAACTACTTCTAGTCAACATCCTATCCCGCCGTTGCGCATCGGTCTCTACTCGCATGTACTACTTATCCTTTGCTTCCTTACTAACCTTGTTGCAGAATCTTCTTCGCCCTCAACAGCGCTTGGGTTGGTCAGCATTGGGACAGTCGATTTCGTTGAAGCCATACCATCCCGCTATTGCGTATCGCTCTCCACTTACACGTTCTTCTCGCCCTTCGCTAACCTTGTTGCAGTCCCCCCTTCGTGTTGTTGGGAGAGTGGCCGTGTTCACTGGTTGGAGCCAACGCGTTCGTTCACCTTGTCTTTTACCTTGCCCTCCTCGCTAACTGCATCACAAAATTCGCCCCCACTTCCTCTCCCGCTTCCAACCCATTTCAAGCCCAACTTGTTGGCAGACGTCTTGGATCGAAACGACGGTCTAATTGTAGAGGTAAGTTTGGTTACTGCTTTTCTCGCTTCTTCACTGACCTTGTTGCAGAGTCTTCGCACAATTCTCCCTCGACAGCTCTTGTGTTGGTCAGCGTTGGGAGACTCTAGTCGGAGTTCGTCCACCTTTTTGTCATTCCTTGTCCTCCTCGCTAACCGCATCACAGACCTCACCTCCACTTCCTCTGTTTTCTGTACCTCTCCCCAATTTTGACCGTCTTGGTAGGCGACAACGACATGGGCGTTCGAATTGGAAGGGCGGTCTAATTGTCGAGGTAAGCCTTGTTACTGCTATTTTCGCTAATACTGACCTTGTGATGCAGAACGGATGTGCCGACCTTGAGTTGCGTTCGCGAGCACAGATGGTGTCGTAGACTTGTTCTTTCGCTCGGTTTCTCTCGCTGACCCCGTTGCTCTAGGTCGAGACTTCTTTTTGTTCAGGTGTCGTGGTCGAGGAGGGTGATTTTGCCAGTCAAGGAGGTACGTGTTATGGCCGGCTTGATACTTTGAAGCACTGACGTTTACAGCAGAATGGTGGGGAGAGTCCGGCGCCAACAAGGCGGTCATCTCGAGCGAGCCAGGAAACGTTTGCGGCCACTTCCTGCCGTCAAACGGCTCCGTTTGGCTATCTATGGCGGAAACGACAAGCCGCCGAGTTGCTAGCACTAGCCATTCTTGCTGACCGGCAGCACGGCGACGGTCTTGGTGGTGGGGGTGTTGGCGGGAGGCAGAGGAAGGGTTTTGCCGTTAGATTTTGAGGCTGTGTGAGAGCGACAGCTGGATTGCCCGCTGTGTTGTCTGCGGCAGCGCAAAGGGCATGTCTTGAGTGTCTGAGCCATTGGGCGCCATCGTCAGGGATAGTGAGCGCGTGAGAGAAGTTTTCGTAAGGCCGCCGTCAGCGGACACGTGTGATCGATCGACTCGTGTGAGGCTGTGCCCGCCCGACTTTCAACCAACCAACACGATCTGAATCGTGCTCCGCCCTCTGACGCGACTGTCGGGACTGGCGGGCAGTGGCCGACTTGGGATAGTGCAAAGGGAGCCTGTCCGGGCCGTGGTACGTCTCACGTGCACGTTTCTGTTTGCGACAGCGTGCTGACCACTACTTAGTAGAAGCACTTCCTTCAAGCCCGGGCCCACGCCGACGCCAACACCAACGCCCTCAGCACGCTCTACACTGTTCCCAGGTGCGCAGTATATTAATGTTTCTCACGCGCTTTACTTACATCTCGCAGGACTTCAAATGACAGTTTGCATGCATCGGCTCGGTCCACTCTGGTGAGGTCTACTACCTACTCTTTCTTCTACACCATCCTGAACACTTGCTCAAGCCCTCGCCTTGACCCTCTCAACACATGGTTCTCGACCACTGTCTTCGCTTCTGGAACCGCTCTTGGATAGCGATGCTGGTGTCGGTGAGTTCTCTTCGTTGACTCTTCTGCTTTCGTTGACCCTGTCGCAGTCACTCTATATCTTCTGCCTCAAACAAGGTCGTTCTATCTGCTGTCGCTATCATTGTTGTCGTCGTCAAAGGTGTGTCATCTCCCTTCTAATTTCTATCGATCTTATGCAAATTTCTCTAGCCTGTGTCGCGAATAGTCATCTCTGCAAGCAAAAACTTCCGAACATCGTTCTTCGCCACGGCGCCAATTACAAGAAAGCCTTGCATTGTTCCAGGAATGTATGTAAGTTTCTTTGTCTACACATATCATCGTTGCTGATCTTGTCTTCGCCTAGACAATACATATATCTATATGATCAGCCCTCTTGTCTCATCGCCCAGTTTTGACTCCATCGTGAGTGTTGTTCATCTTATTGTCGAAAAGCTTTTAACTGGTCGTTAGCGCCGTGAATATTGAAGAGCGAGGCCTGCTCGTCGTCAAACCTCGATGTTCTTGCTGTTTTGTGCCCACTTTAACCTGGCTGACCTTCGTTTGTCCAGGGCCAAGTGGGTGGTGCAACGCTTTCGTTGCAGTGCTCGCGAACAAACGCAAGCAGGACTGGTAGGCCGTCTCGCTCCTTGGCCAGCTTTCGCTAAAACCGACCTAATCTCTAAGTTCTTGCTTAACATCGGGCACGCAACATCTCTTCAAGTCTCAATTCAAGTTTGCACAAGACATACTTCAGTTTACCTTCGAGATATCTGACCAAGCGTTGCAGATTCCTCCTCCCAGGCAACGCGTTGTGCGATCACTCAACGTGGAGCTCGCCAACGTGAGTGGGAGCATATCATGCTCATTTATCTTTCAACTTGGGCGAAGCTGACCCAGAACCCACAGATTCTGCTCCGCGTTGATGATGCGGGCATTCGCGCTGGATGTGGAACGTTGGGAGGGTGCGCTGTCGTCTGGTAAATCATCTCGGTCATTTCCCGTATTCACCCAAGCTTATCTTAATCCAAAGGTTGTCCTCTACATTCTGCGTTATGGCGATAGACAGCGTCTCCCTTGTCGTGCGTGGTTTTCACCTCCCACCTTCTCACCAACCAACTTTTCATCCAAGTTAGCAGTCCCAATTTGGCGCGAATCGGGAGCGGCAGCGGCTCGGGAGCTAGCTTCCGGCCAAGGCTGGTCGAGTGCGGGAGGGCGGCATTGTGCTGCCGCAGAGACCGCATCGTTCCCGGCCTTGTCGTGCGTATTTTCGCTTTCTCGCTGTTCCCGACTGACTTCTTGTTAGCGACGTTCATTCGGCGGGAATCAGCGGCGGCAGCGGTTCGGGGAAGGCTACAGGCAGCGGCCCGTGATGCTGGTCGAGTGCGGAAGGTCGGCTTTGAGTTGCCAGGGAGACTTGTGTTGATTTGTTGTTACTTAGTGGTTGTGCGAGTTGAGTGCTCGCGGCTGTCTTGCTGGCCGGCCGCGGCAGGACTGGGAGCGCTTCCGCGCGCCGGCCAAAGACGTAGCTCGGGGCGGGCCATGGGCAGGTCCGTCGGTGGGCTAGCGGGCAAGGGTGGTCAGCGACACGTGCCCGGGCCTCGCGCCCGGCCGGCCGGTTGTGGTCCCACGCTCGTTCGTCTTGCCCGCCATGTCGTTTTGGCTTGTCTGCCGTCCACCGGGTTAGTGAGCGGGCCGCTGAGGATGGTGCTCGCGCTCGCTCTCTGGCGGGCCGCGGGTCTGTTAGTTGCCCCGGCGACTCGGACAGGCTGCGCAGCTGCAGCGCTAGCATGCCTCGGTGAGAGCGCTGGTTGTTTGGCCAGCGGTATGCTGAGAGGTGAGAGTCATCTTCTGCTGAGTCGCTTTGCATGTTACTTATCATTCGTTGCAGCCGTGTGGACACTGCCGCGGTCTGTTATGGCTATTGTCCGTAGCCCCAGCTTGTCGATCGGCAAACGCGAGCGGGGTTGCTCGTGTGTCTTTGGGCGAAACTGAAGCACACTCCCGGTTCTTGGTGGACACCGGCCATGCAAGGCCCTCGCGCTCGATGATAGTCAGTCTCTGCTCGCTCTATTACTGTATTTAGCCCAAGCTAAGCTTAATCCAAAGGTTGTGCTCAACATCGGCTGCGTGTGTGGTAGGGAGTGTAAGTGTACTCGCTCCTTTGCTGTATTTAACCCCAGCTGACCTCAATACAAGCAGTCGGGGGATGCGCTCGATGGAGAGCTCGCAAATGGGTGCGGGAGGATGTTTTCCAAAGGTTGTGCTCAACATCGGCTGCGTGTGTGGTAGGGAGTGTAAGTGTACTCGCTCCTTTGCTGTATTTAACCCCAGCTGACCTCAATACAAGCAGTCGGGGGATGCGCTCGATGGAGAGCTCGCAAATGGGTGCGGGAGGATGTTTGCTGAGTCGGGTGAGCGCGAATGGCGGCGGGAAGCGTTGCACAGGTGTTCGATCGTAAGTCTACTCGTTCTGTTCTCTGTATTTACCAAAAACTGACCTTGATACACAGGTCGCGCTCGAACTGCATCACTCAGCGCTATAGCGGCACTCGCGCGCTGTTCGTACTAAGCCGAGGCCGACCTTAATGCAGGAGACCAGAGTTGGAGCTCGCGCGTTAGATGGAACTTGTATATCTCACTAATCGATAACATTTATGGGCAAATGCCCCCGGCGCAACCTTCGACGTCTCTGCGCTGGGTTCAGCTTCCGCGCATGTATTGCTCGAAACAGGTTTTTGCAGTGTCACTCTGCTACTGAGCCAGGAAACTAATCATTCAACATAAAACAGTGTCAAACGGCCCATTGGTTGGCTTATGTCCACCCGCGGCCTGGCAAAGCCTGACATTTGCTTGTAGGCCAACGCACAAGAAGACCTGCCATCTCGTCGAAGGCCCTGGCATCCAGAAGCTCGTGCAGAATTTCTGCGCGAATTCCGTGCTGAACAAGCATCTTCAAGCCTGTCTTGCACTGGCTTTCGATTTGCACATCAAGTCTCGCCTCGACTCTCCTTTCATCGCCCGTGTCGATATCGGTATCGAACCTGCGGACATCATGGACTTTTTCAATGTTTTTCTCGGGCGGGACGGCGAGTCCGATACTCCTATTGCGTCCCCGAATCCTTCGAAACCTCCTGTGGCATCGAAGCGGGGGATGCTTCAGATCACTGCGTTTCAGCCCTCAACAATTTGCAAGCTCGAAGAACTCACAGAAATGCGGCAAGAAATCTGGAAGAAGGCCAGAGAGAGTGCAGATCAGAGGCGACTCCGTTGGACTTGTCGAGTTTGCCTCGGGGGAGAGCGTCATGACGTTGACATGTCCTTTCCACATCCTCAAGTCGACGATCAAGTTCGTCAAGGAAGCACCGCCTTGGGAGAAGAAGTCTGCAATTACCAGCGAAGTCACTGAAGTACCGTTCAGCATTGCCACCTGTATTGAGTGAGCGTCCCGCCAGCTGCCGTCTTTGATTGATGTAGCACAGGTTCATGAACATGCACATACGGGCAGACAAGAAAAACCAGTATATGCTGCGCACGGAAATTCAGGAAAGCGATCTGAAAACTATCCGAAATGCAGCGCTTCACGCCTCTGACGACGAGCCGCGGCCTGTGCAGCTGTTGCGTGTCAAGATGGAAAAAGAGGACATTTATAATCCGTTTGTCATGCAGGAAGGAGAAGGAATTGCGCGGAAATTGCATGATGCGCTGGCCACTGAGCAACGCGAGAGGATTTTCGGCGTCGGCACGGATATGGACCTTCCGGATTGACCGTTGCTGATGTACTAGAGATAGCGGTGTTTCGACGAGAATAAACGGTCATTGAGTGGGTCCGAACTCACATCTGTGAGAGATGCGAAGCCTGAGCGCGACGATGCGAGAAGTTCATCATTCCCTCAACTGTTGCTCGCCGGCAATTGGCACATTCTTGTTTGTCAGAATGCTTAGAAGTATGAAGGCGGAAGCCCCACCACAAGGCAAATACCAAACGTTGAGCGCGAAGATGTACAAGCATCCGAGTTGAAAGACAGTCTTATATGGTGAGTCACTACTGATGACTCATCGGTGACAACTCTTGTCCGAGACGGCCACATCGTCCAACATTGTGGCTTTGGCCCTTGGTCCATGAAGGTATGTGCAAGTGTTGCAAGCTTCCGCCGTCATTGATACACGCGATTGACTTTTCACCAATAGAATTCTTGATGTTGGACGGATTGAATCAACCGCGCGGCGTCTCTGGATCGCGGCTCCCATCTGCATCGACATCCACTATTAGCCATCTGCTGTGCCCCCAGGGCGTTATCGCGAGATGCTCTGCGCGTGTGCTGCTGCGTGCGTGCCGCGACGCGCGTGCCTCGAAGAACGCGCGCGACTCAGAACGTGCTGCGCGTGCCTCGAACTCAGCCTCAGAACGCGTACATTGATTGATTAATTGATTTCACATGTCAAACCATACCCCCCCTTGCACGCCTCGCTCCAACGCTAAGTCGCGCTCGCTCGCCAAGTCGCGCGAGCGAGAGCGTACTCTAATATACCTCGTTGGCTTGCGCACGGACCTGTTCAAAGTCACGAGATAAATCTACTGGGGGAGAAATTTTGCATTTCTCGGGGTGGTTCGGGTGGATTTCATGGCTTGGGGGAGACAAGGTACTCGTCACTCTCGGGCTTTCCGGGCAGGGATGGGTAGTGCAAAAGTCATATATTCTCTAACTCTAACGAGACACGCTAATTTAACACGCGTCGCGACGCGTCTAACCCCATCAAACTGAGCGGACAGACACCCAAGTCCCCATTTCCACCAGTCAGCCACAGTGGGCAACACTGTCCCGGGCGCGTTGATAGTCCAGCGGTTCGCAGGCCTCCGGCGGCTGAGACCTGTGAAAAAATGAGCTTGAATTGCACAAAAGAGACGCAAAATGTACCCTCCGGAGTGCCCATCAAAAGCGCCGCGGCCGTCCAAACACGCGTCGCAACACGTCAAGGTTCTTCTCCCGCACAAGACAGTGGCCCCACACTGTCTTGGTAGCGTTGTCAGGCGGGCGGCACGTGTGCCTCTGGCGGCTCGGACCTGCGAGAAAGTGAGGCTTGAATCACGCAAAAGAGGTGGAAAATATACCTTGAAGCTCCATCAGAATTGCCGCAAAAGGTCGTTGATGTGCGCATGTCGGCCAGCAAGGGGATCCGGAAGAGGTTGCTTGACCATGCGGGATGGGCTCCGATGGGGAATGGGGCCGCGATAAGGCGCGACCAGTTGGAGCCAGGGCGGGGACTCCGTTGACCACGTGGAAAGGCCAGACTCAGAGGCGGGACGGCAAAGCCCATGGAGTATGTGTTGAAGGGCAAGCAACAACCCGGCACCGCCCAGCGCAGAGCGTAACGTTGAAGGCCAGCGGTGGGCCGTGATGACCGTCGTGAGCAGCGCTGCAGGCGGACGCGAGGGTCGGGGACAGGTCGGGGTCAAACGACGGCGAGGATGACTTCGCTGCCGCGTGGGAACATCGAAGAACTTGAAGGCCGGACTCGGAAGGCGGGACGGCCAAGGCAATGGAAGACCTATGCAACAACTCGGCGGCCAGCGCAGATAGTGGCATTGTCGAATCGAGTAAGGCCGGGGGTAGGCGGCCGGCCGGGTATGGCTGCCGGGACAAGTGTGTTGCGGGGCCACAAGGATAGAGGTGTGAGATGAAACAATGCCGACAAGGCTGATGAGATGGCCGAGGGGTAGTGCGATGGAGGACAACGACCGGGCGGCCAGCACAGAACGTGGCGCGGGTAAGCCGAGCAAAACCGGCAATGACCGGGGTTGACCGCCGGGGGCAAAGGTGCAGGGTGAGGAGGTCGGAGAGAAGGTGGCCGCAATGCAGCTGCAAACACCGGGTAGGCGATGACAAAGCCAATAGGCAAGCAGCAACAATGGTGGCGGACATCGTTGATGATCATCGGCAGGATGTCCGACAGGCAGCGCAGAGCGTGGTGCGGGAGGCCCGGGGGCAGTAGGCGATGACCCAGATATCCCCGGTCAGCAACAGTGGTGGCCCCACTGTGCCGACAGGGTTGATGGCCGGGCGGTAGTGTACGCCTCCGGCGGCAAAACCCTGCAAAAAAGTGAGCCTTGAATCCAGTTAAAAGTGTGCCAAAACGCACCCAAAAATACCATCAAAATCTGATGATCGCATCAGATCCGACCGATGCCGAGGGCGGCGGCACCATCGGCCAACCAGTTGTCGATCAAAACTGAGCACGTCGCCGGAAGCCCCGCAGTCAGGGCGGTAAATTGGCCTCCGGCGGTGAAAATCTGTGAAAAAAATGAGCTTTTTGACCATCAAAAGATCGGCCAAATATGCTTACGTAAGCGCCAAGTGCAGCCTAAAAACGG